TTAATGATTACAAACATTCTGTTTGCTCTTTGGACTGTTGCTGCACACTTAAGCTACATCTAGACTGCAGAGTTTTATCAGAAAAAGATAAGCAAATTGCAGATTACAATTTGCTTATCTTTTTCCATTTTTTCGGAAGAGGCTTTTCCAAAATTTGGCCCACTTACATGGGGCCAAATTTCGGGAAAAAACTCTTCTGGAACATCCCTTAATTCCTCTCCCCCAGAGGCCACGTTTTTGAAAACTGTTCCAAAAAAGCAGATGCATTCCCTGGACACGGCACAGCTTTTCCGGGATACGGTATCCCAGAAAAACTCTGCAGTCTAGACATAGCCTTAGTGGATGTTTTCAGAGAACTATCCACAATAACTCCGGGATCTCTTTGTTGAGTGATAACAGCTAATACTAATCCCAACATTTTATATGTATAGTTGGGTTACCAATCTATACAAGAACCTTCCTTTTTTTCCAATGACATCTTATTCTGTTTAAGAGCATTTGGTGAGGGATTTTGTTAAAGGCTTTCTGAAAATCTGAGCAGTGTATGCGATATACCTAAACTTTAGTAAGGTATTTGATATGGTCTCACATGATCTTCTTATCAATAAACTAGGCAAGTACTACTTAGATGGGCCTACTATAAGATGGGTGCATAACTAGCTAGATAACTGTTCTCAGAGAGTAGTTCTTAACAGTTCATAAATGTGCTGGAAGGACATAAGTTGGGTTCCACAGGGGTCTGTTTTGGGACTGGTTCTGTTCAATATCTTCATCAATCATTTATATATTGGCATAAAGATTCTGCTTCGTAAATTTGTAGATGATACAAAGCTGGGAGGGTTTGAAACTGCTTTGGAGGATAGGGTCATAATTCAAAATGATCTGGACAAACTGGACTGAGGCAAATAGGAAGAAGTTTAATAAGGACAAATGCAAATACTCTACTTAGGAAGCAACAATCAGTTTCACACATACAGAATGGGAAGCGACTGCCTAGGAAGGATTACTACAGAAAGGGGTCTAGGGGCCATAGTGGACCACATGCTAAATATAAGTCAACAGTATGATGCTATTGCAAAAAAAGCAAATATGATTCTGGGATGCATTAACAGGAGTGTTGTGAGCAAGACACGAGAAGTCATTCTTCCACTCTGCTCTGCACTGATTAGGCCTCAATTGGAGAATTGTGTCTAGTTCTGGGCACCACATTTCAAAAAAGATATGGAAAAATTATAGAAGGTCCAGAGAAGAGCAACAAGAATGATTAAAGGTCTAGAGAACATTACCTATGAAGGAAGACTGAAAGAATTGGGCTTGTTTAGTTTGGAAAGGAGAAGACTGAAAGGGGACATGATAGCAGTTTTCAGGTCTTTAAAAGGGTGTCACAAGGAGGAGGGAGAAAAATTGTTCTCCTTAGTCTCTGAGGATAGGACAAGAAGCAATGGGCTTAAACTGCAACAAGGGAGGTTTAGGTTGGACATTAACCACCCTGACAGGAAGATTTTCCTAAACACTGGACTAAGTTGCCCAGGGAGGTTGTGGAATCTCCATCTCTGAAGATATTTAAGAGCAGATGATCTAGACAGTACTGGGACCTACCATCAGGGCAGTAACTAGACTTGGTGACCTCTCAAGGTATCTTCCAGTTCTAGTGTTCTATGATTAGATCCACTAGGTACCCTTTGTCCACATGCTTGTTGACCCCTAAAATAATTCTGGTAGATTGGTGGGGCATGATTTCCTTTTCAAAAACCATGTTGACTCTTTCTTCAAAAAGTTATGTCCATCTATGTGTGATAATTTTGTTCTTTACTCTAGTTTCAACCAGTTTGCCCAGTACACAAGTCAGGCACGATGGCTTGTAGTTACTGAGATCATCCCTAAAGCCCTGTTAAAAATTGGGGTATATTAACTATCCTCCAGTCATTTGGTATATAAACTGATTTAAATGGTTGGCTACAAACTACAGTTGGTAGTTCTGCAATTTCACATCTGAGTTCCTTCAGAACTCTTGGGTGAATTCCATCTGGTCCTAGTGACTCTTAAGTTTATCAATTTGTTCTAAAATCTCTGGGACAGTTACCCAAACCCAAGTCATTCTTTTTAGGTGATAGATTTGAGGATCTCCCTCACATCTTCAGCCATGAAAACTGATGCAGAGAATTCACTTAGTTTCTCCTCAATGGCCTTATCATCCTTGAGTGCTCCCTTAGCATCTTGATTTTCCAGTGCCCCAGCTTCCTGTTTCTAATGTACTAAAAAAAATTGCTATTATTTTTTGAGACTTTGACTAGCTGTTCTTCAAATTCTATTTTGACCTTCCTGATTATATTTTTAACACAACACAGACAAAGATGGTCTTTATCTAAAAAGGCTTGGTCTAAAAGACTGAACCAGATGCAGTAGGTGGTTTAGTGGGAAGTGTTAACTTAATTTGTATCCTTTAGTCCACATCTTCTAAGGAGCTGGAGAGGCATTTACTATAGGTTAGTTTTTCAAGGCAGGGGATGAAGAGGGCGGGGAAGTGAATCTTAGGCACTATGACATCACTTGATCAATACGTTATTAAAAATATTACAGAATTTATCTGCCTGCCAATATATGTTACCGTCACAAGAGTTTACCAGCAATTGTTGATCCATGAAGTATGGCTTCTCTGGAGATCCATCATTTGTTTCCATATCAACAGCAAAACAAAAAAACAGGGCATCCATGACCACTTCAAACACCGACAAAAAGCTGTGGGCTACCAGGTAGGCAAAAAGTGCAACTAACAACAGAGGAACTACCCATACATGGAACTCACGATGGTAGTTAAATGCCATTAAACCTCCAAAAACTGTAAAACATACAACAAACACCTGTATAAAGGAGAAAAAAGGAAGCAAATATATTATAATATGCACCAAAGCTAAATCAAATATTTTACTGGCTGATGTTTTAAAGAATTTATTTCATAGGAGAAGGCTTGAGATCAATTTGAAACCATCTTGCTGCTCACATAGGGAACATGTGGCTACATAGATTTACTATCATTGTTATTCTTGTCCTCCTATCCACGTCCCTTCCATATGTTTGTTATACCTATTTGTCAAATCTTGTCTTAAATTAGACTAAGTTCTAAGGGGCATTCACTGACATGCCTCTGTCATCAGAGGCATGTAGATTAGGCTACCAGACATAGTAAAATGAAGTGGCGATTTAAATAATCGCCACTTCATTTAAATTTACATGGCTGCTGCGCTGAGCCGACAAACAGCTGATCAGCTGTTTGTCGTCTCAGCGCGATAGTCTGGACGCGCGGGTGGCGACATCAAAGGTATTTGTCGACCACCCAGGTAAACCTCATCCCAGGAGTGACAGAGGCATGTAGTCTAGACGTACCCTATGAGTTTGTACAGCTATTAGTGCAATGAGCCTCTCGGTGCTTCCATAATACAAATGATAATAATAAAATGAATATAAGCAGCAATCATGTCCTCCAACAAAAAACTGAAATACCTGATTCTCCTCCTTCCAAGCCCAGTTTACATTAGTGTAGCCCCATGACTTCACCAGAGTCATGCTCCTGATTTCCTTAATGTATGTGAAAAGAGAATCAGTCTCTAATCTTTGTCTTCATTATTCCAGGAATGGACGCTGAGGCTGTAATTTAGGAGTTTATCCATGGACTTTATAAATTATAGTCTCTTACCTTTCCTAGAAAAATGATGAAGTCTCCAAAGAAATTAATGAAGGCTATACTAGCAGAATTCTTTGCTAATATAGATAGAGCATCCTTTGTCGAGGTACAAAAATTTGTCCCATTTATGGCAGTTGTCGTGTATACATGCTGAAATGAGAGAATGAAAAGGTAATATGACTGGAAAAAAGGTCGGAATCTTTTAATATGGGATTTTCTATGGGAAAAGAAAAGCCTTAAAACAGGGCTACTCAACTTTGGAAGCCCTGAGGGCCACAATGACACAATGCCAAGGGCTGCAATTTAAGTGTGCAACTATATATGCAAATAGCTTCTTTCACACTAACAGGCATAAATACAATAATTAAGGCAAGACTACACAACACACAGGCCCCATTCAAGTCAGTTCTGCTGATATTAATAAAATGCAATATTTACTCGATTTCCACCCATATGACAACACTTTTAATGAGTAAAGACAGTCCAGGAATTTAACTACTAAAACACATATCAACAGAAGACCATTATATTGACAACTTTTTTGTTTTGGCTCCCACTCGCAGGCCACATGATGTGTGTGTCTAAACTACACCCCTCTGCCGAGAGAGGGATGTAGATTAGGCACATCGCTATTGCAAATGAAGCAGGGATTTAAATATCCCATGCTTCATTTGAATAGAAATGGCCGCCGCTTTTTGCCGCCGCGGCCCTTTGCAGGCAAAAAGCGGCAGTCTAGACGGGGATCGGTCAACAAGGAAAGCCTTTTCTGGCTGATCCCTTATGATCCCTTTATATTTAAATCCCCGCTTCATTTGCAATAGCGATGTGCCTAATCTACATCCCTCTCTCGGCAGAAGCTGATGGCAGAGGGGTGTTGTTTAGACACACCCATTGAGCCCCACATAAATCCAAGCTGCACCGCGGGCTGCAAACAAACAGGCCGTGGGCTGCCATGTGCCTTAAAATATCTTTGGAAATGCTGATGTTGTGCTTACACATAGATTATTTTGCATAGTCTTATATTTTAACTTTGAGCAAGTATAACTGTGCCTCTAATTTCAAACTGACTTTTCACATCGCTTCTACACTGGGTAAATATTGACAAAAGTAAAACTTATATTTCAGAGACTACCTCTTTACAATTTCTTTTGGAATGCTGGAAAGTGACAACCAGTCTTTGGTAATGATTAACTACTATGACATGTAAGTTTCATTGTAACTCGTATCTGGACATATGCCAGGCTGATGACCTTTTCTAAGTATATTCCAGCTAAAGTGTTGCATTTGATAAACTGTATCAATGAAACAAAAAGTAACACTCACTTTGCACACTAAAACTTTAAACTTTGCACACAAAAAATTAATGATTAAATAAGTTTTATGTGTGACCCTTTTTCTTACTAGTGAGCCTTTGAATTTTCATGGACCCATAACCATAAAAAAAAGCTTCACAGAAAGACAAAAGAATACAGGCAGTCCCCGAGTTACACGGATCCGACTTATGTCGGATCCGCAGTTACGAACGGGGATTTTCTCTCCCCGGAGGACTGGAGCGGCGGGACACCTGGTCCCGCCGCCCGCCTCCTCCGGGGCGAGAAAAGCTGCTCCCCCTCTCCCCGGGCAGATAGAAGCTATGCTAGGCAGTTCTATATTTCCTTTTGTAATAGGAAAAAGTAGCAAGTTAGACCAGAAATTCTGTACAATCTATATACTTCCTTCAATTAGGCTGAGAATTTTATTCATTCACGAGCAAAGCAGAAGGTAGTTTAATCCCTAAATAAACTGCGCAACCTACAAATTCCTTTTGCACAAAAACTCTTGCATACAGTTAGTCTTAGTGAGCATACTAAACTTAACTAATGTTTTTAATACCATATAATCTCTCTTATATAAAAGTTTTGCTAGACTTTTTTAAAGATCTAGAATAATGTTTTTCTGCTCTTTGTTGAGATACTAATTTAACTCCTCACTAATGATTTCTGTTATGTTATAAACTATTTTTAAAAGATGCTTGAAGATTCCTATTGAAATAGCTCATAAGTCTATCCTCCAGTCTCCCTTTAACAAAATTCCACCTGAAAACAATTAATATTAATCTTACAAAATTTTTGGTATCTACTTGAAAATTACTGAGTGCCTATAATTTCCACTGAAATCAACATCTTTTTTCACAACATAAAACCAAGTGATCTAGTTTTGACGCTCCCTGTCATTACAGGCAGTCCCCGGGTTACGTACAAGATAGGGACTGTAGGTTTGTTCTTAAGTTGAATCTGTATGTAAGTCGGAACGGGCATCCAGATTCAGCTGCTGCTGAAACTGATCAGTTTCAACAGCGGCTGAATCTGGACACCAGTTCTGACTTACATACAGATTCAACTTAAGAACAAACCTACAGTCCCTATCTTGTACGTAACCCGGGGACTGCCTGTAATGACAGGGAGCGTCAAAACTAGATCACTTGGTTTTATGTTGTGAAAAAAGATGTTGATTTCAGTGGAAATTATAGGCACTCAGTAATTTTCAAGTAGATACCAAAAATTTTGTAAGATTAATATTAATTGTTTTCAGGTGGAATTTTGTTAAAGGGAGACTGGAGGATAGACTTATGAGCTATTTCAATAGGAATCTTCAAGCATCTTTTAAAAATAGTTTATAACATAACAGAAATCATTAGTGAGGAGTTAAATTAGTATCTCAACAAAGAGCAGAAAAACATTATTCTAGATCTTTAAAAAAGTCTAGCAAAACTTTTATATAAGAGAGATTATATGGTATTAAAAACATTAGTTAAGTTTAGTATGCTCACTAAGACTAACTGTATGCAAGAGTTTTTGTGCAAAAGGAATTTGTAGGTTGCGCAGTTTATTTAGGGATTAAACTACCTTCTGCTTTGCTCGTGAATGAATAAAATTCTCAGCCTAATTGAAGGAAGTATATAGATTGTACAGAATTTCTGGTCTAACTTGCTACTTTTTCCTATTACAAAAGGAAATATAGAACTGCCTAGCATAGCTTCTATCTGCCTTACATATTCCCGTGATGCCCAATTATGTTCCATAACTTGATCACAAGCATCTGGGCACCACTCCTGCTAGACTATAAGCTGATATGACTTAACCTTAAAATATTTTTAAAGGGAATTCATAAAAGCAAATGAAGACTTTTGGTGTGAATATAATAGCAGAATATTCACTTTATATGACGAGACAAGGGAAATTATTTTAGTTCCTGAACAGTGAAGACATGCAAACAATGATGTTCTTTCACTGGAACATTATTTATGAGCAACAAATGGATCTTAAAAATAATTAATATCAAGACTGATTTCTACTGCCCTGAGCAATACATACATAAGACTGCAGAATGGACAGAGTACTATGTAGAATGTTTGCATGGATATCTGCCTGTTTGTATTACTTAAATAAGCAGGTTAGAAAAACAGACTCAGTACTAGACTGTTTCATTTCTACTCAAGCTGCTCTTTGCCCCTGCCAGTATCTTAATCTGAATGCAGGGAATAAAAATAATAGCTCAAGTATCTGCTGAGAATCATTAGTAATATTGTGGGTATAGCATGTGTTCCATCTGAAGATCTCAATGCACTTTATAAACATTGGTAGATTCATTTAACTTTCTGCGACACTATTTGTCTTCAAGTATGCTAAGCACAAAGCTATGCACTTGATCCTGCTCCACTGAAATGGATGTGAGTTTCACCATTAACTTCAATGAAAGCAAGACTCTGGACGCTATTTGTGTAATTGGCAGTCTCTTCTCTTGAATATTAAAGGTGTATGGTGCAATTTTCTTTGTACGAACACTATTTCCACCTTTCAAAAGGGAATCAGCACTTGACAGCTATATTGGGTTGCGAATACTACCTAGATGAAGATTTGTCATACTACTAGCAACAAAGCAGAAACAGAAGTAGCATTTATTCAACACTTTGGAATTCCAAAGAACCATGTAAATATTAACTAAGTCATCACAACACCCAGCAAGGCAGACGTGTACATAATAATGCAACACTCACAAACTTAAAAGAGGCACAAAAGAGGCTGAGTGAGTTGTCCAAGGTCACAAAAGCAGTCAGTGACCAAGGCAGGATTAGAAATCAGCAATTCTTGGCTTTCACAGTGCAAGCTAAATCACCTAAACCAAGCTACCTCCATGCATATATTAATCTTGTAACTATAAATGTATGAATTAGAGAGCAATTTCATGCACTTTAATCACATTTTACTAGTTTATTATACAAATAATGAAATAACGCATTGGTTCCGCACATATAAAACCTCAGTCTCACAGTTCAAGTCTCTATGATGCTAATCTATTAAACCACTTAATGTACCTGCCTAATTTTAAGCATATAAACAGGCTCAGTGAAATAAACAGGACTACCTGAATGAAGTTAAGCACACTGCTGGAGGGTTTTGTTGGATGGTGGCTTTAGCCTCTGTGATAAACTGGGGTTCTGCCAGTACAGCCTAATAGTTCTCAATGGTATTGTGAAGTTGATTTAGGAAAAACTGCACATCTATCACATGTCTCTGTATGCGTATGGATTCACCACTCCTGACAAGTCCTGTAATAGGTACACACTAGTGATGTAAAAAGGAGTTTAAAAATGTAACTCTGTAACTGCTAAAAATCCTAGCGGTTACATGCGCTGCAGGCTCTGCAGTATAAAGCTTAAATAAACCTTACACTGCAGACCCCACAGTGAAGCCTCTCCAGGAGCCTTCTGGGGACACTTTGCTGCAGACTGTGCAGCTAGCTCCCCTGCCAGCCCCACTCCCGGGGAGTCAGCATGTAACCTGAGGAGGGGGAGCTGGGCCAGGCCTGCCAGGGATAGTGCCTACTCCAGCTGTCCGGCCTGAACAGCCCCTGCCTGCTATGAGCCCTGCAGTGCTGAAGCTGCCCCCTGCCAGGGTGGGTGGGGAGCTGTTCTATTCCCTACAGGTTAACTGCAACCAGCAAGTCTCACCTGTTAAGGGTAGGGCTTATTGATTCACTGGTTAATTATTTACATCCCTAGAACACACCTGACTGTTACAATGGGGATGCTTAGAACTCAGTGACCTCAGTCAGGTACCAACACTTAGGTACGATGAATGGGCTGCATCTTAAGAAAAACAGTTTTGGCT